TGATGCATTGGCCTTTGTTATCTCAGAAAGGCCTTTCTGTCTTAGTCCCCCCTCTTCTCCCACTTTTTATACTTAAAGGAAGGAAAATGCTTTCATGGTTTTAAATATACTGGATTTTAAAATTCAGAACCATGTTAAATATTCTTAAAGAGTCTCCTACCCAATCCCTTGCCTCGATACTTCACTCTAGAAATAATCCTTTTTCAGTAGTTCTTGTTTGGCTTTTAAAGAGAACCCTCCAAGTGCCAAGGTCAAGTAGATTCTCAGGTCATGCTTTAAATTTGCCCTGTAGTTGGACTGTGCTTTTCTTGAGTGGTTCTATTTTTCCTAGCATCTTAATGGGATTTTCCTTCTCTTGTTTCAAGAAGAAACATATGCCTCTTCCAACTTAGCACTGAAATCTTCCTGCTTCTTACTCATGCTATTTGTTTAACAGAAAACTCTTCCTTCTCAAAGTCATTCTTTTGATCCTTCTGCTTTCCTAAGACAGTTAGTCTTAATTTGGACTAATTGTTTTCTGGGCTTGCACATTTCTACTATCCGGGTATTCCTTTACACACATTCCTCTTGGGCTAGTTCCAGAAAACATATATGTCTTGAATTCCTAATTTTAACTGCATGTGAGTATCCAGTTTTCTCAGCACCATTTGTTGAAAAAGTTGCCTTTCAATATATGCAGAGGGAGTTTGAGTGCTTTTGGTACCTTTGTTGAGAACTCATTGGCTAGGGCCAGGGATATAGCTCAGCAGCATAAGCACCTGCCTGGCAAGCACAAGGTCCTGAGTTTGATTCCCAGTACAAGAAAAAAAAGAGAGAACTTATTGGCTGTACATGCCAAGGTTTACTTCTGGGTCTATATTCTCTTCTGGTCTATGTGCCTATTTTTATACTAGTACCAGGCTGTTTTATTGATGGTGTGGCATGAAATCAGGTATTGTGAAGCCTCCAGCTTTGCTCAAGATTGGTTTTTAGGGTGTTGTGTTACTATATAAATTTTAGTATTACTTATTCTAGTGCTGTGAAGAAAGTCATTGGTATTTTGATGAGGATCACATTGAATCTGTAAATCATTTGGAGTAGCATGGGTATTTTAACAATATAAATTCTTCCCAATCATTGAAGATGGGTAGCCTTTCCATTTTTTTCTGTCATCTTTACTTTCTTTCATAATATTTTGTAATTTTCAAGGTATAGATCTTTCATTTTCTATTTAAATTTATCCCTACCAATCTCATTTTATTTTTTAAGTTATTGTTAATAGGGTTTCTTTCTCTTGAAAGAAATCTCATATTTATATTGGTGTATAAAAATGTTACTTATTTTGCATGTCAATTTTGTATCTTGAAACTTTACTGAATTAATTTATCAGTTCTAATAGTCTTTTGGTGAATGAACTCTATAATCTTTTCTATACATAGAATCATATAAACTGCAAATAGGAATAATTTACAACCCTCATCTCATATAAAAACCAACTCAGAATGGTCAAATATAGGCTCTGAAACTATAAAACTACTAGAAGAAAAAGTAGGGGAAACACTTTAAGGCATTAATATAGGCACCGACTTGTTTCTATGACCCCAAAGCACAGAGAATAAGAGCAAAAATAAATAAATGAAATTACATCAAATAAAAAGTTTCTGCACAGTAAAAAAATCAACAAAGTAAAGAGACAGCCCATAGAATAGGAGAAAATATTTTTCAACTATTTATCTGACAAAGGACTAACATTCAGAACATACAAGGAACTCAAAAAACTTAAGAAAAACAAGTAGCAAACAATTTAAAATGGGCAAACAATCCAAGTAGCTATTTCTCAAAAGAAGAAATACAAATAGCCAATAAATATATGAAAAATGATTAATATCATTAGCTAAGGGAAATGCAAATCAAAACTACATGAAATATAGTCTCCCCCCAATTAGAATGGCTGTTGACAAAACATCAAAAAACAAATGTTGATGAGAACGTGAAGAAAACAGACCTTTTATAGCTGTTGGTAGGAATGTAAATTAGTATACCCATTATGGAGAACAGTATTGAGGTTCTACAGAAAGTTAACACAGATCTACTATATGATTCAGGTACCCCACTTCTGGGAATATAGCCAAATGTAACAAAATTAGCATACCAAAGAGATACTTACAACCCATATTTATTGCAGCACTATTTATAACAACTAAGATATAAAATCAACCTACATGCCCATCAGTGGATGGACAGGTAAAGAAAACAAGGTATACACTCATAATGGAATATTATTTAGCTACAAAGAAGAATAAAATCTTGGCATTCTCAGAAAGACAGGATTGGAGGACATTATGTTTGGTGAAAAAAAGCCAGATACAGAAAGCCAAGTTCTCTCTTCATATGTGGAAACTGAAAAAGTCAACTTGAACATAAAATTCTTAGAGAGTGGGAAGAGTGGGGAGAGGGTGAATAAGGGAGGCTAAAACTGATCGCTGTGGGATGTATGCATTTGTTGAAGTATTACAGTGAGCTCCATTTTTGTACAATTAATATATGTGAATCAAAAATAAAATGCTTTCAATATATAAATGATAAATTCGTAATTCCTTATTGGCTTTTCTGAAGTGCATCAGAAAATGCACGGCTGGTAAACTTATTGAGTATTTGAATATCTGTCTTTATTTGACTGGCAGATAGGCTAGCTATAAAATTCTACACTCAGAATTACTCTCCTCAGAATCCTAAATTTTATTCTGGACTTTATTCTGCACAAAGCATGCCCCACAGACCAGCACCACCTAGGAGCGCTCTGCAGCTGCAAAGTCCTCTGTCCCGGAACCTCTGTTTGAACAAGATCCACAGGAGTGTGTGGGCACATGAGTGTGGTGAAGTGCTGTTCCACCCATCAGTAGTGCTGCTGGGAAGTCTGAGATCAGTCCAACTCTTCTCCACCAAACACTGTAATCTGATATTTTTTTTCAGTGAGTGTTTTGGAGAAATTCTTTGCCATTGTTTGATGGCCTGAAATTCCCTAGGCTGTTTTAAGACACTAACACTTTCCCCTGGGTCCCACCAAGCCCCAGACTTGTGCCTTTCTTCAGATTTAGATAACTTCTTATATTTTTCTGATTTTGCCTGTTCTCTGTCTCTCTGTCTCCATCTCCGTCTCTGTCTCTTTCTCTCTCTTTGGATTATCACAGATTTTCTAGATAGACCATCCTCATTTCATACCCTTTTCCTTTTATTTCTTTTCCCTTGACCTCCCTCATCTTCACTTTGGGAAGTTTTGTCAAATTCATCGTTCAGCTCTTAGAGTTTTTATTTTGCAAGTGTGTCTTTAAACAACTTTATAATTCCCGGAATGTTCATTTTTCTTAGCAGACTGTCCTTGTTTTGCAGATGGGATACATCACACATCCCTAGAATTGCTAGCTTTTGTTTTCCTTTCACTATAGCCAGTTGTTTTGTTTGTTTATCTTGTTCCTACATTTTCACACTGTTGGTCTTTCCTTAATTATCTTATCATCTCTAATAAATAATATTATGGAATTATTCTGCATTTTTAAAGAGCAATTATGGTAGTATAGTTTTATAAGAAAAGGTCCTTAATTTTAGAAGATCAAAGTTCTTAGGGATGAAATGTTTTGATGTCAGCAATATATGTTCTAATAGTTTTGTACATGTGCACACACACACAGGCATAGGTGGGGAGAAAGTGAAAAGTTTTTTGCGATGACACAAAGTGGAGGTCACGGATGTTTATTATGTATTTCAACTTTTGCCTTGAAATGTCTGCTTAAAATTTTTCATTGTAAAAATTGGAAATAAGAAAACCAAAATATATATATATATATATATTTGATGATATTTGATTGTTCATTCTCTGAGTATCTTTGAAAAGATGCCACCAGGGGTCTAAAATCCATAAGGAACCAGCTTTGTTATAGGAAAACACCTGACAATGTTTTATTTTTTTTTTCAATTCTTTCAGTTCAAATTCAATATAAACTTGAAAAGCTACAAAAGATCAACGGCTGATGCCTCACTACTAGTACAGGACACAGCAGCAGGCCTGCCCACAGCACAGCACAGCTCTGGACATTCCCACCAGGGAGAAAGACTGGTCTTGTATCCCCGGCAGGAAAGGCCTTGCCTGTCTCACACCACCTATTGGCTAAGCCCAAGGTCTAGTATTTTAAACAAAAGTAGAAAAGGTTTTGTTCTCATGTCTTCCCACTGTGGCCCGACACTAAAATGACCCAGTGCTTACTTGCTTGGAGAAACAGTCTTTGCTTTTCTGAATGTTAGGTTTGACGGTAGCGCTGCCAAGCTTCTAACCAGCAACCACACGCCTTGCTATCAGCAGCTTTGAGTCAGAAGTCTCTACAACAGAAGCCACTCTGGCCAGGCAGGAAGAGGACACCCTTGCATGGTCCTGAAGCAAGTTAACTATAAGCCATTTATGTTCCTGCGTATGTGCATTGCAGGGTAATGAACGATATATGCAGAGCCTCTGAGTAACATTCTTTAAGAAATCTGCCAGAATGTATTAGGAAGGGACCTGTCTTGGTGTATCTCTAATGAAGCAAAAGAACGTTATAATGGGATTTCATGGGTGTGGGTAGTAATTGGATTTGGTGGAGGGTGTAATTAAATTTCACCAAGGGTCGACCACCTCTGCCCCAGGAAATAATGAGGGTCAGAAAACCTTCCATCTTGCTTAAAAGGAAACATGATAAGCCTGTAGAAACTCAAAAGCACATCTCCTTAATCATGATCCAGTACGCTTTGGATTGTGAAAGATGTGAAACTCTGTCCATTTTCTGTCCCCGAGTCTCCTGCAATTCCTCTCTCTGCTTCAGCTAGGAGGATCAAAGCAGAATCCAGTACACAGAAGGGTAGCTCCCCCACGACGGCAGATTCCAACATATGAGAGGTATGTCAGGTTGACCACTGAAGAAGCCAGCACCACATTTCCTGGCAGTGTGTCTGGAGGCCAGGCAGCCTGAAAACTCTGGATACAGCCAGACGTATCAACAGGTCTCCTAGTAGGAGTGTCAGCTGATGGCAGGCAGACAGGCATGCCCTCTCCCCAACACTAAGTGCAGCTAGTCAGGAGTCTTGATCTCTTAACTCAGGAGATAAGCCCTCCTGGGATTTGCTTGCAAGTGCTCATTCCAAAGCAGTATCAGAACTGTGATAGATGCTACAGCGATGTGCAGTGCTCTGATGTGGGAAGGTGGCTGTCCTGCTGCCAGGCAGGCCTTTATGAAGTGTCTCGCTCTTTGCCCCAATCTCTCTCCTATGTTCACTCCCTGTGACCGAGCATCTCTCCAGAGTCATCCAAGAGAAACAACTCCACCTCTGTCTGTGGACACACAGGTTGATTTGTGAATTTCAGATCAATTTCATGTCATGTCTTCTGTTCTCCACAGACTAATCAGAAATAAGCAACAGATGGGAACAACTTATTTGCAAATGACGCATACTATTTTTTAGGGTCTTTTACAACTTCAGTTTTGACTTAAGAATTACTTGAGTGTGCTTTAATTTCTAAATATTTGGAGGTATTCATCTTGTCTTTCTGTTGGTGAGTTCTAGTTTAATTCTATTATGGTCAGGAAATATATTCTGTGTCGTTTTTATCTTTTTAAATTTGTTGAGGTTCATGTTATGGCCCAGAATATCTAGCTTAGTGAAAGTTTCATGAGTGCTTGAAGAGCATGCATTATGCTCTTATTAGGGGGTCTATTCTATACACGTTAATTAAATCCTCTTGCTCATTTGTGTTGCTCAGTCTCTCCATATCCTTTCTGATTTTTTGTTCAGTAGTTCTGTCAAAAGCTGGGAAGGAATGCTAAAGTCTCCAGTTGATGTTTGTGTTCTCTCTCTCTTCTCCCTGAAATCTTCTATTTAGGTCTTCTTTTTACCACCTTTATTTTTAAAATATGATTGTTTGGAGTGTTCCCTCCATTTAAATTGAGTACTACTACAAAGATGTTATAATTGTGGCAAGCATCAACTATAGCTTATAAACGTCGTGACAAGAAGGGATAGTGTACAGTAATTCCGCAGTTCACAAACTCTTCTCTTTGTGAACAATTTGATTTGTGAATAGAAGCATTCAGCAAGATTCTGCCTCCGTTTGCGAACTCCACATCAGGTGATGAACACAACCGCAACCATCTTCCTTGTATGATCGTAAACACAGCCATCTTCCCCAGAATCGTGGAACAAATTTAGTTTGGAAACTGAGGCACCACAGTATCATATTTGTCCCTATTTTAGCTATTTCAGCGTTTGTCTTTCATTTCTGAAGTTCTAAGACCTCTTCCACCGTCATTTTCTTTGCTGTCTAGAGAATTTCCTTTATTCAGTTTTTGAGAGAATATTTGTTAACCACAAGTTCTCTAGGTTTTCCTTCATCTGACAATCTTTATTTCCTCTCAACCTGGAAAGATATTCTCATTATATATAGAATTTATTGTTGATGTTCTTTTATTAAATTGCTTGAAAATTTTGTGTTACTTCCTTCTGGCCTCCATGGCTTCAGATAGAGAAACCTGCTGTCACTCGAATCTGCATTCTCTTGTAAATAATGCACTATTTCTCTCTCTCTCTTTCTCTGCTTTCAAGATTTTTTTGACTTACATTTTGAGAAGTTTAATTACAATATCTCTTGTGGCAAATATCTTTGAGTTTTTCCTTGGGGATCATTCTGTGTCTTGGATCTGCAGTTATATATCTTTCAACAAGTCTTGGATATTTTTAACCATCATTTTCTTAAGGATGTCCTCATTCACTTTGACTCTTTCCTCTCATTCTGAAATTGTGATAATACAAATGCTACCTCACTTGTTATTGTTACATAGTTCCCTGAAATTCAGATGTTCAGATTTGTCCTCAAGTTCACTAATTCCATTCTCTGCCTTCTCTGCTCTATTATTGGGATTTTTCTGAAGGTTTGCTTGCTGTATTTTTCTTACTGTACCTTTTTACTTACTGTATTTTTCTACTCTATAACTTGTACTTGGCCCTTTTTATTCCTCTGTTTGTTTGCAACTTTTCTATTGCTTTTATTTGTTTCAAAGGCAGTTGTAATTATCATTGAAACATTTTTATTATGGGTACTTTAAAATCCTTATGAGACAATTCCAACATCTGATGCATCTCAATGTCAGCATCTGTTGATTTTCTCATTTAATTTTTCATTTTCCTAAGTTCTTTATATGATGAGTGAGGGTTTTAAAATATTATCCAGGGTATTTAAACATTACATTATGAAATCCTATTTAGTCTTGAGGTACAGCAAAATGTCCTAGAAAGTAGGTATGTTTATCTTTCTGCTGATTCTCACCAACACTACTCTGGAAAAAATAAAGCATTGACTTGCACTGTTTTGTAGCAGAACAGTGAAGGAAAATTCAACTCTCTCTTGGCCCTGATGATATCAGTAGGGAAGTGAGGAGGCAGAGTGACAATTAGCCCCACTTCCCACCACCTTATTATGCATTTTTGATTGCGGATGAAGATGGAGGCTCAGCTCCCCACTGGCTCCAGTTAAAACCAAGAGAGGAGAAAGCAGAGTGTGAACCTCATACTACTTCATTCTATTAATGTCTAGTGAGTCTGGGGCTCAGTTTCCTACCTGACTTCTTAGGGGGTGGAGAGGGAAGGGGTTAAAATGTTCACTATCTTTTTTTGCATTGTCTTGTTTGGTTTCTTATTGCACATGGGTGTGGAGCGTCATTCAGCTCTTCCCTGGGCCTTCTGACACCTGGAGTAAGGAGAATGGACAGTACTGACTACCCCATACTCACACCTCCTGGTTTAGTCTAATTAATATCACATAGGGGTAAGAACCCTACTGATAGTTGAACCCAGCACAGGTAGTTAAACCATAATGGTGATTAGCTCCACTTTACATCATCAGACTAGTGGATATGGAGGCTCAGTTCACCAATAGGCCCTAGTGACACTACTGTAATGAGAGAGACTGAGCACTATATAGAAGAATATCTCTTTGCTCAACTCCACCAGCACTACTGAGCGAGGCAATGGGATGCTGCACCCAGCTCTGCCTACTTCACTGAGTCAAAGGTGGTATGGAAAATCAGATGCTTGCTAGACTCTGCTGAAATCCTTGACTGGGGGTAGGAGTGGTTTGGTTAAGGTCAGGCTGTATGTGTGTAGCAGTGTTTGTGTGTGTGTGTGTGTGTGTGTGTGTGTGTGTGTGTGTGTAATAAGTGTAGACTGGATATTGGCAAAAAGATTTTCTGCTATTAGGCCACCATTCTCATGTTCCTTCAGTAGGGAAAACAGGATTTTCCTTGGAGCATATTTTGTCCATGTTCCTTAGAAATTCAGAGACACATATACACTGACTGGGGGACATATGGGAGGCAAAAAGGAAACCAAGAGAGCTTACTTCCATTTCACGCCCCAAGTTCTGAGGTCCTTGGGCAGCTGCCTTGCTCTTTTCGCCTCTGAAAGTCTCTCCTCTTTGTTTGCTATGTTATGTCCAGGTTGGTTTGTTGTTAAGCAGAGAATCCATGGGGAATAGGACTGATTCTTCTAGGGAGACTAGAAGTCCCCATATTTCATTTTTAAAAACATAAAACTGACACTACTGTAATGAGAGAGACTGAGCACTATCTAGAAGAGTATCTCTTTGCTCAACTCCACATTTTATATACAATTTTGTATTTCTTACCATAAGTTTTCATATCTATTATAAACAGAACTCTTTGCAAGTACAATTTTAAAGGCTATATAATTTCCCACTGAGTGGTCAGGACATGATTTACATAATCATTTTGCTGTTGTTGAAAATTTAGATTCCAGTATTATTGCTATAATAAATAATGTACTGGTGAGAATGTGCCTTAAAGTAGTTTTTTTTTTCTTTTTTGTATTTAGGATTATTGCATTAGGATAGAGTTCCAGGAGTGGAATTATATATAGTCCAATAGAACATGCAACAGGACCCAACATAGGACTTCACCGTGCTTTAAACATGAGTAAATTTGATACAGAAAAGAAAATAGTTTTTCTTTTAAAGAAATACTGTAATATGCATTTCTTTGGTCACCAGTGAGGTTTATTCATCACTCCCCTTTTGTAAATTGACTTTTCATATCTTTTGCCTATTCATTTTTAGGAACCTACATACTCTTCTGGAAGAACCTGAGGCTTTTTTGTTTTTTTCTTAAACTAAAAGATATAACTCAATGTCAAAAATGAGTTAAGAGAGAAATAATTTAATCCTCCAGGAAGCTAACCAAAAATATCAAGTGCCTAACAGGAAAACACCTACCAATTAAAGGCATCAGATGAAGATAAAACATACGAAAGACCAGATTTCTGGATAACTCTTGATCTTGAAAATTATGCTGTTTAGAAAACAATGAACATTTTCTGAACCTTTTTTTTTTTTCTGAATCTTACCTGATCCAAAACAACATTGTCACCTTCAAAAGTTGCAAATGCATCTGGGTCACACATTGAGCCGAGATTCTTTTATCCATCATGTAACCCTTTTGCAGAAGAAATAAGGAAAAAAAATCACGTTTTAAATTTAGAATGCCATCACTGCACAGGATTAATGTTTTCATTGAAATTTTTAAAAATATAGGAAATTGACAAGAATAAAGTAGCCATATTTCTCTTACTCAGAATAACCACTTTAAGAATTTTATTTATCACATTAGCCTTTGGTCCCCAAATACTATTCTGGGTGTTGCCTTCTTTAGTAGTAAAAACATTTAAAATAGTCACATCATATTTTTCCAAAAGATTTCAGCATATTACTCCGGTTGTTCCTATCTGTCTTCCAAGTCTTACAAATTCTAATACACACCAAAGTACTTAGTGATTACACCTTACCCTATGCAAGAGAATGATGTCCTCTACTCCCTCATACACTCTCTCTAAAACTTGACAAACAGACCTATGAAAATTCATAAAAGAATTGGGGATGTAGCTCAGTGGCACTGCGCCTGCCTGGCAGGCATAAGGTCGTAAGTTCAACTCCCAGTACCAAAAAAAGAGAGGAAAAGAAAATTTATGAAAGACAACACAAATATCTTAAATTACCACTCTGCATCTTTGTATCATCAATTACTTTACATCATAAATTTATACTGTGGCTAGTTTCTCTTCTTCCTCCTTCTCCTTTTCCTTCTCTTTGTCTTTCTCCTTCTTTTCTACTTCCTAAAATCTTTATTTTAATGTCAGTAGTCCTCTGTGTATTTTCAAAGTGTTGGCTGCTCCTCACATATGCTACAGAACTGACTGTTCAAGAGAATCTGGTTTTGGACCCAGGGAAAACATGAAGGAAACAAAGCCTGTCATTGGCTTCAGACTTTTCCCTTTCCACAGCCTTCACACTCTCCCCTTGCTCCTTCTTCTCCCCCATGAAATCTCCAGAACCTTATCCACTGTTCAAACCTGCTTCTGCACATCACTCCAGCCTGCTGGTCATATCTGAAGTGAATGTCCCAGTAACATCTGCAGTTAGAGTTAGTTCTGAGTAGGGAATGACAAGCTTTTTGCCTCTGTTAAAATTTTCAAGCAGCAGAGATATGGAAGGAAGGTCACAGAAGGGCAGTCACAGGATATTTGAATATCCACATGAATCCCCAGGTACCCTTCAGGTCTAGGGGACCTGCTTCACTTCTGAAAGCTGGCACAGGAATCATAGAAGCCTGGGCTTCTGGGGTCCTGTTACCCTAGAGCCCTGAGGCAGAAAAAGCTGTAAGTGTCAGCCCTGCTCCCTGTTGGGAGAACTCCACTCTAAGGCAGCCATCTTCACTTCCCTCTTCTGCATCTCAGCTGCATGGTGTTGCCTCCTGCAGTTTATAGAAGCAAAGACATCTTCACAAACCTGTCAGAACCCTTGTTACGTATCATAAGGTTAAACTGATTCTATTTATTTACTGATAAATGAGTAACATTTCCAGCTGAAGAAGTTTTATCTCCATCTCTCCACCTCCCACTCCATAACCACAGGGCTAAGCCCGCCTCATAGGCAAACCACATGAAATCAGGTTCTGACTGAACATGCTCCTGCCTAGTGTTCCTCCCCGCTGTAAGGCCAGAGCTGACTCATTTTCATCTTCTCATCTTATCATGCCTTGGTACTCGTTTCAAGCTAGATACTGTGCTGAGCGCTTTGCCCAAATTTTATTTACTTCATTTCATCCTTTTGTCCTCACAACAGGCCTCATTTGACAGATGAAGAAAGTAAGGCTCCAGGGCTAGGTCAGAATGTTCTGGAATCATCTTTCAAGTTCTGGTGTGGAAAAAGATGAAACACTAATTTCATGAACTTAGTGTTAAAAAGAAAGCAATTACACCCAAAAAGCACAGCTACTCATACTCAAAATATACAATGTTGAAAAAAGGAAGCATTATTTTTTTCTGAGCATATTGCTGTGATCTCTCTCAATGGAGAAGAGAGCAATAGATTTTTTGCTGTTTTTTGAAATTGTCCCAGAAACCAGACAATCAGTGCTTAAAACACCCAGAGAAAGAATCCACTCAAAGAACAGCAGAGCCACCTAACAGATATCAAGTTTCTTAAAGAATAGGCCATGGAGTCCTATAAACATAAAGACATATTGGCTCTTCAAATGCAACATCACTTATTTTTCTCATAGGTGGTAGAACTCTGCTTTGAACTCCTCATTTAGTTTGAAAGTCAGACAAAATTGGGCAATGATTCTAGACTGTCTGTAGCTCCTAAGACCCAGAGTAATAAGGCTGCCAGCCCTCATGGAGCATACAAGCAACTGAAAATGAAAGAGCAAGGAGAAAACCAAAGTCAACATGTACGAGACCGTGGCTGTAGTCGGCAAGTTGCTTCCTATGTCCTGAAATTACCAATGGTGTATTTACCGTCAATTTCCTTAGAGGAGGCAGGGAGGCCCAGCCTCTAAAGTCTAAATCCCTGGGGCATCTGAGGTGGCCCACTTGGAAACTAACCAGGCTGACAAAGTCCTAGCACCCATATTCTGGGTTACTGTATGCAAATTTAAGGAGAGATCTATGAGGTAGAGATGTTACTGAATGGGGATTTGCAGCCCTCTCACTGAGGGGTCTAAATTCTAAGTTTGGGGCCCCCGTTCCTTGGGAATAAGTTATTATGAACTCAGGTGTGTATAAAATTAAATTTTTTTAACTTAAAATTTTTAAAATTGGCCAGGGATATAGCTCAGCAGCAAAGCACCTGCCTGGCAAGCACAAGGTCCTGAATTCGATTCCCAGTACCAGAAAAAAAAAATTTAAAATTAACTACTGAAAGCAATACATAAGCACTATTAAAACTAAACTAAATAAAAACAAAAGGAAAAAGGGATAAAAAGTGATCCACCACCTCACAGTAGAGATAAATGAGATATGGATGCCCAAAGAAGAACAAGCCCCCAGAAAGGCTTAGGATAGGACATGGAGATCACAAGGTTGGAGGCAGGAGTTGATGGAGAAGGAGAGGGAGCCAACAACAGAGCAGATCTGGGTAAAAGGGAAATGCAGAGCGTTCCAGGAAGCAGGCAGCCAAGGAGGCCATTGCTAAGGGTCACTATACCTGATGCTTCATATACTGCCGCATTTCTACTCTTCGTCTACTCATCGCTCCAATTTTGGGGAAGGAAAGTGGAGGCTCAGTGAGGTTTGCCCACTCTACTCTGCCTACACTGCCCTATTCCCCAGGGTTCCAAAGTGCTATTCCCTGTCTGGATACTCCCCCAGATCTCCACAAGGGACCACTCCTTCTCTTCATTCCAGTCTCTGGTCAGAAGTTTCCTCCACAGGAGGACTCCCCTGACTCTTCTGTCCAATAAAACAGCTGCCCAGCCATGGCCTTCATGCTCCATCCCCTTTGATTACACTTTAAGGCAAACAGCCTCACCCCTGCCCCCAGAGACCTGAACCAACAATGTCTCAGGGCCTCTGCTCCCACCTTATCCTAGACTCACTTCAAGCCACTCCTGCTTCCAGCTGACACCCAACACTGGCTCTCAAAGCTTGGCTTGCCTCTGCTGCTGTCCATGGCCCCATGCATTTGGATTTTGTGTGCCACCAGCCCTGCACTTTCGTCCCCAGGCTCCTGCTCTATGCAGCTTCTGCTGGGACAGCTTGATGCTGAGATCCAGAAGATGTGCAATGTTGTTTCCTCACCTCCCCATTGTCCACAGTCCCTCTGACTGACCAGCCACCCATCCTCCTTGTAGAAGACAGGGCACACGGGCTTTGAGTTAGCTGGCTGAGCATGCCACTCACCTCACCACTCAGCTGCAATTTCTCTCTCTCTCTCTGCTTTTCATTTCTTGTTTCTTTTTGAACTTCCTCATTGGATACTTCCCTATCTTGCTTTCCATTTCTCATTTCACACACCTTGCTTCACTTTTCTGGCTTCTCTTTTTTCGCTTCCTTTTCCTCATTTCTCCTTTCTTGCTTCCCCTTCTTCTTTTTCTCCCTTTTCTTGTTTCTCCTTTCCTGTTTCCCATACTTTATACCTCTTCTCTTGTTCCCATAGGTTGCTTTCTTTCTCTTGTTTCCTATATATTCCTTCCCTTTTCTAGTTTTCTCATTTCTCTTCTGCTGTGCCCACATCACATCCCTTCTCTGGTTTCTTCTTTCTGACATCTCCTACCTCACTTCCATCTTCTGGTTCCTCCTTGCTTGTGTCCTCTGCCTCACTTCCCCTTTACTGGTTTCTACTTTTTGCATCCCTGCTTTACTTTCTTTCTCTTTTTTCTCTTTTTCCATTTCCCATACCTTACTTCTCTTTTCTTGTTTTCATAGACTACTTCCTTTTGTTGTTTCTTTTTTCTTATTTCCCATAAGTTACTTCCACTTTCTTCCCTTTTCTCCTTTCATGTGTCTCCTACCTTACTTCCCTTTCCTGTTTGTCCTTTCTTGTTTCTCACACTTTATTTCTTTTTTCTCACTTCCCTTTTCTTGATCTCCCTTTTCTTACTTCCCTTATCTTGTTCCTGATTTTTTTCATTTTCATTTCTTACTTCCTTTATCTTATTTCTGTATTCTTATTTATCACTTCTTATGTCCCTTATCTTTTTAAAGACATTTAATTGATATATGACATTGTATGTTTTATCATGTACAACATGTTTAAGTACATATACACTGAAATAGTAAGTCTAGGTAATCAACAAATGCACATGTTATCATTTTGTGGTAAGAATACATAAAATCCACTCTCATTACATGCTTTAAAGGATACAACATATCATAATTAACTTTAGTCACTTTGCTGTACAATACAAATTTATTCTTACTTTTTAGATGTAATTATATATCCTTTGACCAACATCTGGACATCCTATCTTATAGCTAACTATTCCAGTATCTGGTAACCACAATTATATTTTCTACTTCTATGAAATCAATATTTTAGATTCTACATGTTATGGTTTAGATCTGATGATTTCTTTAAAGAGCTTCATGAGATCATAGGTTGGACATTCAGAAGATGATTGAATCATGGAAGCACTATAGCTGAATATGCTATTAG